TGGCTCCATATCCATTCTATGGGCGGGTGCCATTTTTGACTGTATTAGGACTTTACGGTGGCACCACACAACAACCAAGTCCACATGCTGTACACGGGAGCCATTGCATCATCACCTACTATATCGTCTAACAGATGATATATGTATACATACACAGTTTATCACAGCCCCTCGTTTGTTGTCCTCTTCTCCCTCTCTGCCTACGGTTTACCGGGCAGCTCTTTTTGACGATCTATATTAAGTGAACATGACATACTTCACGAAAACGCTTGGTTTTCCTCGAAATTGCAAACTGTATCATAGCCCATAGTGCCAAGTTGCGTCTAACATGACATACTCGTGAAAAGAGTTTCGTAATGAGCCAAGTTGCGTGGTCAAACGTGCATTATTCGTAGTTGGTAGGGTGCCCGCACTGCAATTGCAAACTGTATCTTGGCCCATAGTGCAATTATACCTCGTTTCTGTGACTCCCGCAAGAGATAAGGCTACCTTCTTAAGCAGACACCTCTTTCGGGCTTGGCTTCTTGAGGTTTGTCACCTAATCCACTCGTTCATGCACCCATCATCCATGCATCCATGCACCCATCCATCCACCCGTGCATGCCTCCCTCTGACCCACTGGTTCAATTAAGGTGATGGCCCTACACCTCCAGAGAAGAGAGGGAAAAAATTCCATGGAAATCCATCTGTAATTAATGCATTACAGATTGACTGAAATAATCTCTGTGGCGTACTTTCTCGCTATGGAATCGAGCGGTACGAGGGTCTTGCCGAGTTTACGTTTCATGTGCTATCCGAGCATGAACCTGAAAACCATTTGGACCAGATTCCGACGAGGTTCATTTCCCATGAGAGCTCCATTCAACAAACGGCGCCTGCCGCCCGCTATGATCCTCTCATTCATAACAGAGAGGAAGCACCACACTGCTCCCCAAAGAGAAAGTTACCGCCGACTTGCCCGTTTAGAACGCGCCTGGATGGTTCAAACGCTGAAATCACTTGCCCCTCGGCACGTTCGAAGCACATTCTGAATAGAGTAAGGGCATGCTCTCACTAGGACGTAACTGCGGTCAGGTGCATCGAGGCCCGGCCTGAAAACCACTCTGATACATCCAGGAAATTCCTCGAGTGAGTATCCCCTAACAGGGGGGATAAGGCGAATATGTTCCTATTTCTTGACCATTCACGCCATTTCAGGGCATTCACACACACCAGCACTTTCCGGAATGCATCTGACTGCAATTACGTCCAGACCTGCATGAACCTGACCGCGATCACGTCCAGAGCTTTGTCGAAAAAGTCCTCGTGTGAGTATGGCCTCATTCGGGTTAGTAGAGCGATTCAGAGCGCACTCTCATCCGATCCTGATCCTGCACTTTGATTCAAATCTAATTCTGCATTCCTTCTTCATCTTCTTTTAATTTTTTTTGGGGAACATCACTGTAGGAGGTCCACTGTTGAAGTTGATATGAGCATCCCTCAATAGTGAGCTTCCTCGTGTGAAGGCTCCGCTCTAGTGGTGAGGAGCTGCACCTGCTGGAAACCCGTTCCAGCGTCCTTTAGTACAGATATATTGTCACAACGTAAATCAGAGCGCGAAGGCGGAAAAGAGCAAAACAAGGAAAGGAAAAGAAGAAAGGAAGGAAAGCCCCAACTGTTCATCACCTCTTACGTACAAGGCCAGCCACGTGGATGACAGGTTGAGAGCTGGCTGCCCCCATATATCTATATATATCGTCACAAATAGAACTGCCCGGTAAACCGTAGGCAGAGAGAAAGAAGAGGACAACAAACGAGGGGCTGTGACAAACTGTTTCGTCGGAGTTTCACCGACTCATCAGGAGGCTGAACCCTCAACAGTCTGCAGAATCCCCTCACTGATTACACTGTTAATGATATCTATATATATCTATATATATGTTATCACATCATAATATTGGATTGTCAGCACTGATTGCCCTCGCATGAGGGCATTGACTGACCCTCCGACTCTGCTCCAAAACCTGGTCCAATCAGGTTCAAAGCAGTTACGCCACCGAAGCAGGTCAGGTTAGCTCGGGTAAGCGAATTCTCCGTCGACAACGAAGTTGGTGAGGACATAAGTCAACCACGCAAAATTTCATAAGATGACACAAGCAAAGAGAGAGAGAGAGAGAGAGAGAGAGAGAGAGAGAGAGAGAGAGAGAGAGAGAGAGAGAGAGAGAGAGATGACCTCCTAAGTTCGTATAGTATGGATTGGATTCATTGGAACTACCGATACAGGGCTACTGGCCACGCTTTACCACATTGGAGAAGAAGTACTGTCTCCCCCCGAATAGAACGCCCGGGCATTATAGGCGTACTTGGAGCACCTTTCAGTCCAGATGCAACGAACATTTACCGTACGTGTTCTATTCGGGTAAAGACGGTATAGTCCAGACTCCAAAGGTAGCGCTGACGCCCGCCATTGTTGCCATTGAATACTTAACTCGCGGCGCCACTTCGATTTTCTTTTCTGTTCTTTCCCTTTTTCCAAAATCGCCTACCGCCCCTAACGGTAATGTCTTCATCTGATACCCCCTAACGTTAACGAAATCATTCACAGCCACATTCTCTTGTCTCCTCTTTTCTCTTTTCCTCTTGAATAATCAGCCGAATTCGAACTGATGACGTGTTCTTTAACAGTTAAACGCGTATACCATTCACAGCCACATTCTCTTGCCTCCCCTTTTCTCTTTTCCTCCTCGTATGGGGATATACATATGTATATACATGCGTACATTTTATATATATCGTCACAAACAGAACTGCCCGGTAAAACCGTAGGCAGAGAGAGAGAAGAGGACAACAAACGAGGGGCTGTGACAAACTGTTTCGTCGGAGTTTCACCGACTCATATATATATATGTGCGCTCTGATTCACAATGTGACAACATATATATAGGCATACGTACACATTTGAATATTTATATATATGCAGACATATCCATACCTACTACATATTGACGCACAGCATAAAAAACGCTCATAGCACAAAATGACTGGGGAGGTGCGACATAGTGTCTCGCCATTTTCTGATCTGCTCATTACGAGGCTAGTCTCACAGAATTCCCTGTTAATGATTTCGATGCTTGTGCGTGTGCGTGTGCGTGTGCGTGTGCGCGTGTGCGAGTGCGTGTGCGTGTGCGTTTTGAGTGTGCGACTGCGACTGCGTTTGCGAGTGTGTGTGCGTGTGCTTGTGCATGTGCGTGTGCGTGTGCGTGTGCGTGTGCGTGTGCGTGTGCGCGTGCGCGTGCGCGTGCGCGTGCGCTGAGGAGGGAAGGGCCCCGTGAAGGCACGCGCTTCCAGCTTGATAAAGATTACTGGTGAGCTTTTCTTCGCTTTTCTCTGTTTCTTTTCCTCCTCTTGATTCTACTTTTTCCCGCCCCTTCCACGTATCGTGCGTGTCTTCTGCTTGGGTATGCAGATGCACGGCTTCTGGATATATGACGATACATAAGAAGTCCGAGGAGCCCTGAACATAATGAGGACGACAACTCGCACTACACGACCAAAAGAAGTCTAAGCACGGCAATCATCGTGACGACCACCATTCACCACAAACGCAATCGACATACAGAAACGTGCACGGCAGCACCACAACGACCATCAGGGCGCATGACAATGACAACCCATTCGTACCTGAGGCTTGGTGGCGAGCTCAGCCACAGTCTGCACGAAGCCGACTCGACTTTTTTGGTAATTTTCGAAAACCTGCAAAACTACTTTAGCGCTCGTCATCTTGCTCGCTACTAGATCGATTGGATTGATTCCTTCCGCTCCTCCGCCTCCTCACTCCCCCCCCCCAACCCTCCCTTTTCCTCGTTTTCCCCTCTCAACAGGTTGCTGCCCGCGCTCTCATCCAACCTACTCTTGGCTCACTCTCTCCGCTCCCCACCCAGCTTCCTTTCTAGAAGCTTCTCTCCCATCTACGCTCACTACCCAATCTGCAACAGCAATGCTCACCCACTGCGGCCTTTTCGGCGACGAAAACGGGTGGCAGGATAGATGGTCCTGATCTGACGCAATTTCATTTCGCTCCGAGAAGTTGTGACTGAATCGGACATTTGCTGCCTTTCTTTGCTAGAATGGCCACCGCGATGGCTCAGTCGTCTACGAAGACGGCGCAGGCCTCGGTTCATCTCCCTCCGCAGCGCCCGTTAGCCGATCACGGAATTCCACACACTCCAATCCAATTGCAGTTTACTGAGTGGAACCGTTGCTTCCCCCCGCCTTCCCCCACCTTGAGTCCGCCAACTCTGCCTGCTCGGCATGCATAGACCAACTCTACAGGTCCGCCACAGGGAAGATCAATTAAACCACCAGGAGTGTAACAGTCTGAAAACGTGCCTTATTGGGCCTTCCGCTCCTTCTCACCAATCGCCTACTAGATCCATTTGCCAACTCCAGCGCGCCGCCATGCCCTGCACTTCAAGTCGCTAGTGGCCACCAACTAAATAAACAACCCCGAATGGTTCATAACCCCGCCACAGCCTACCCAGCGAAACGGTGCCTTCGTCAGATTGTGAGGCGGAGACATGATGCACACTGTACTACTGTACTGCTGTACTGCTGTATCCTGTCTCCGCCGATACTACCTTCGATAATTGTGTGTGCCTCCGCAGCGCAGCCATAGCGGTCGCTTATCCCCGCTTGCGGTACGGTAGTACGCAATCGCGTTCGCCTTTGCCTTCGCAACTGCGCGTGCTGAGAGCCCTCAGCATACCCGACACGCCAGCCGCTCTGCCGTAGATGCGTCCTGGAGGCCCTTACTTCAGGTTGTGTAGTACTGCTGAGCCCGGCCTGCCGCGCATCGGTTACATACGTTTCTTGCTCCGTGAAGGCATTTGTAATGCCGTATACAGCAAACACAATGCGCACACCTCCAGCGCCGAGACTTCACCAAAACTATGACAAGCTCCTTCGAGGTGCCCAATGGGAACGATGCAGAGAAGACTAGCATGGCTGCTGTGCAAGGATCAACACAAAAATGACGAAATAGTCCAATTTCGGAAGGGAAGTTCGAGCAAATGCCTAATGATATTTGGCGCCAAAGCATTTTCAAATCGGTCAACCGCGGGTGCTGAGGGCGTCGGAAAAAGCGGCCTTGCTTAGGCATGCAAGAGTCGTTCAGGAGGTCGTGCGCTCAATTTCAACCGCCTGGGGTAAACCAACTGAGATAGTTGGCTTGCTTCCCCTGCTCGCTATTGGTAGGGGCTGTGGTCATCGCGGGTCTCTCAAGTGTTCGCAGCCCGTCAGGGGTGCGTTTTATATGCCTGAGTTGGCAGCCCGTCAGGGGTGCGTTTTATGCCCCTGAGAACATTTTTCGAAGGTCTTTGGAAGGCTGGAAAAACAAGGCATGGCAGTTTAGGGGGTGGTGGCATCTTACTTGAAGTTGACTTATTGACTTACCGTGCGGGCACGGGTGCGCAGCCCATAGTTTGTATATGCTTGATTGATAAACACACACACACACACACACACACACACACACACACACACACACACACACACACACACACACAC